CAGCCTCTCAGTTCACCAGGAGAAGTACCCCTACCACAGCAACTAGACTTGGCTGGGAGGGAGTGGTAGGCCTTCCTTTAAAGACCCCCTCTCCCTTCCCACCACATTCTCAAAAGCTCAGGGAGGGCCAGGTGCAGTGAGTGGCTCAAGCCTGTAATCCCAGCACTTTGGGAGGCCAAGGCGGGTGGATTACCTGAGGTCAGGAGTTCGAGACTAGCCTGACCAATATGGTGAAACTCCATCTGTACTAAAAATATAAAAATTAGCTAGGCGTGGTGGCAGGCACCTGTAATCCCAGCTACTCAGGAGGCTGAGGCAGGAGAATCACTTGAACCAGGAAGGTGGAGGTTGCAGTGAGCCGAGATAGCGCCATTGCATTCCAGCCTGGGCAACAAGAGTGAAACTCCATTATCAAAAAAAAAAAAAATTAGCCAGGTATGGTGGTGTGTGCCTATGGTCCCAGCTTCTCAGGAGGCTGAGGCGGGAGGATCGCTTGAGCCTATAAGCCTAGACTGCCCCATTGCACTCCAACCTGGGTGACAGAGCAAGACCCTGTCTCAAAAGAAAAAAAAAAAAAAAGCTCAGGAGGCCTTGCTTTCCGGCCAGCACCTCTGGCTCTTCATGGCAGGACAACCACGTTGGCCAGGGTTTAGCTGGGTGGGCTTTTCTGAGCTCAGCAGAAAGGTCCCATACTTCCAGATGCAGGAGGACATGCCTAGTCCTAAGGGACTCCACTTGTCCTCCCCTAGGATGGACCCACTGAGGATACAGACAGACTGGCCTTCTCCTCTCCCAGGCCCTAGTCTCCAACCTGGCCTCTACCCCTTCTCAGTGGGACTTGACTTTCCCATTCAGACTTATGGAAGCGGAGGAGGGAATTTTGATCCAACTGGGGTTTTAAGATCCTCAACTTTACCAACATCTCCCCTAACCTCACCAGACTCAGGAAACACTTGGCCTTCAGCAAACTTAAGAGTAACTGATCCAAATACAGATGCCCCCCAAGAACCTTCCCTAAGGAATCAAAGGGGAAAGAATGTAGCATCTTCCCAGTACTCTGGTGGTCACGTGACCCCCCTCTCCCTCAGTCCCCTACCAGTGGGTCACCAAGACCCCAGAGTCTGACAGTTGCTCAAGTCTGAGATGGCCCTCCATCCCACTGCCTCTACCTGAGTCCAGGTCTCCATCCATTCTCCTAGGATCACAATCACTCCCTCACCACTCTCCCCACAGCCAACTTTGCTACACCCTAGAGCATGCTCCATAAGCAGCCAGAGTAATTTCCTAAAACCTGTTCCTATTGCTCCCTGATTAAACTGCTTCAGTGCCCTTTGGTTAAAGTTCACATTCCCCAGCACGGTTCACAGGGGCCTCCGTGACCTGGCTCCCGTGGATGCCTCCTAGTGCTTCTCTCAACACTCCCTTCCCACTCACCGTCTCCCAGCCTTATTCCTGAAATGTGTGATTCTCTCTCCATAATTTTAGGTCTTGGCATGTGTTTGTGACAGCGTTTCCCTTCCTCTTGCCTCCCCTTCACTCATCTACTACCCAGATGTCAGCTTGCGCTGACCCATCCACAAGACTGGACTTGAAGCCCCTCTGCTGCACTCCTAGCACCAGGACTGGCCCCTGTGGTTGAGTTTCTCAGAGAGTACTGTCATGGTCTGCTGCTGGACCATCTTTCCTGCTAACTATGAGCTCCTTGGGGCTCGGATTATGTGCTGCTCACCGCTGGAGCCCAGGACCTAGTATGCAGTAAGTGCTCAACAAATGCTTCCCTAATGGACGGGTAGGTGGAAGGTAGATGGCAGTAGAAAACGCTGTTCTCCCAGGCCTGCTGGTTGATTTCTACCAGGTCCCAAGTCTACCCTACCACTGTGGCTCACCCCTGCTCCCAGCAGAACCTCATCTAGCAGCTACCAGGACACATGAAGGTGTGAACCCAGCATTCTGGACACACACCATGTGAGAGGGAAACTCAAGGGGCTGTGTCTCCCTGGGGCCTTCTAAACAGGCCATGGAGAGGAGCCGGGGGCCTGGCCACATCTGTGTGCAGGAAGAGAACAGATGGCTAGTCAGCTCCCTCAGAGCTCCCTGGGGACAGGCAATGTGTAGACACAGTTGATGGATGGCCTGATGGCAGGGTGGCCAGCAAGAGCTGTCCCTGTGGGGCTACAGTCATCAGGGTATCCCTCCCAGGAGTCTGGAGGAGGCAGGAAGACTTCTCTTGGCACATAACTGGGATTAGAACTGCTGCCAAGACAGGGAGCAGGAGGAGTAAAAGGAAGAGGAGGAGATAGAGGCTGAGGGTACAGAAGAGGCTGCAGTACCCCACACCACTCCCAGGCCTGTCCCAGGAAGCTGGAAATGCTGGGCTCACCCTGCTCCTCTCTGCTTGTGGCATGAGTCCCCACCACCTACCTGGATGAGAAAAGATACGGGCTTCTTTCAGCCCTATGCGTCTCCTTATCCTGCCACATGGCTCTGGGAGATGCATGGGGATGGGGTTTGCTACTGTGTCCTCTGGCAGATGACACAGGCTGAGGCTTGGGGAAGAAGTCCTCTGGGCACCAGCTGGGCTTACCCCATAGGAGCTAGAGTGAGCCAGCATTTCAGGGATACCAGCTGTAACCTGGAATCCACCAGGGCCTCCAATGCTAAACCATCTACTTCCCCAAGGATGGGATAGCAGCAGCTAGTTGGGAAGGGAAAGCTAGGAAATGTGAGATGCCAGGATGATCCCTGTGCTATAAAGAGAAAACCAGGCAGCATCTGGGATGCCAGGCCCAGGGCCCCATAGAGGCCTTGCTGTGGTTCAGCAGGGAGCTGGCAACAATCCCCTGGGGGATTCATTCTTTAAGAAGAAAATTCCATCTGTTAAAAGCAGTGTTAGCCTGGAAGAACGCAGACAGGCATGGCAACATGTTACAGTCTTTGCTTCTTTTTTTTTTGGAAATGGAGTTTCGCTCTTATTGCCCAGGCTGGAGTTCAATGGCTTGATCTCGGTTTACCACAACCTCCGCCTCCCAGGTTCAAGTGATTCTCCTACCTCAGCCTCCCGAGTAGCTGGGATTACAGGCATGCGCCACCATGCCCAGCTAATTTTTGTATTTTTAGTAGAGACTAAGTTTCTTCAGGTTGGTCAGGCTGCTCTCAAACTCCCGACCTCAGGTGATCCACCCGCCTTGGCTTCCCAAAGTGCTGGGATTACAGGCGTGAGCCACTGCGCCCAGCCCAGTCTTTGCTTCTGACATAAAGACCCCTCCCTTGTTCTTCCCCCTCTACCTCGTGGTTCTCTGAGTTCCACCTAACCTGGTGGTTAAAACATAGTAGGTGCTCAATGTGTGCTTCTGGAATGAAGAATCCAGGTCTTCCACACAGGCCTCCTCCCATTCACTACGCTTCCCTGACTAGCAAAGCTGCCTAAACCCAGCTAGCTCCGGGTTAAAGGAAGGCCTGGAACCCAACTACAATGCTTCCTGACAGTCTGATCCTGCCACTGCCAGCCCCTCTTCAGGCCCAAGGTGCTGCTGCGTTGAGCAGCCATCCTTAGCAGCTGCTTCCCCTCCCTGGGAGAAAGCTTGGACCGGGACTCTGCCTGTTTCCTCCTGTTAGCACTTCCTCCCAGTTCTGACTTTGACACATCTGGCTGGTCACTTAGTACCAAAAGGTCCTGGTCAGGCAGCAGGGACCATGATCTGGACGATCCTAAAACCCACAGCTGGGAGGGGAAGATGGCCAGGGGTCAACTTGTCCTTCGTATACTATCTCCAGGCAGGACATTCAAACTGCTATGTAGCCACCCTATCAAAAGACCCCTGAGATTAGTGAGCTTGATGCCCCATGGAGATCTGTTCCTCCATCTGATATAAACCTCTCTGCTCCTGTGCCTCCTGCTGCTCTTTTTGCATGGGTAGCTGGGATCTCAGGGACAGTCAGGACATACTATCTGTGCAGGTTTTATCCCTCTTCCTTTTCCAAGTCCATGCTTTTTCTCCTTCTAGGAGAAGTAATAAAGACTCTTGGAGCCCAAGTGACCTTTATAAATCAGATCTAGTTACTCCCCTGCTTCGAACCCATCAATGATCCCATTTCACCGGGATGAAATCTGAATTCCAACTGTGACTTATAAGGTCCTCCATGATCTGCCCCTGCTCTCTCTGCAGCCTCACCTGGTATTCCCTTGCTCACTCAGGGGCAAGAGGAGGCTCTGGCCTGAGGTCATCTTTCCCAAAGATATAATCATACCAGCTGTACATCTCAGATGTTCCATGACAGCCCTAATTTGAAATCATTTGTCTTTTTTATCCCCAAGATCTAAATAACATGGAAATATTGTATTTTGCCGTCCAGATTGTCTCTTATATCTGGAAGTGACACATGTTAACCTATACACCCCAATTTAGGGCTCAGGAAATATGGTGCCCAAACCCCTAACCCATCCTTGTAATGGAGAAGCTGAACAATTTCACAGTAATTACTAACCAACAGCAGACCTCTCTCCAGGGCTCCAGAGCTGAAACTAAGGTTCAGGCAGAGTTTGGTCTAGCCCATCACCCTTGAGAAAGGCATTATGCTGAATTCAGTTAGGTCAATCCAACAGACACAGAACACTGGAGGGAACCATAAAACCATGAGGCGGGGCCAAACTGCTCAGAACTCTACCGGAGTGAACCTTTGGGGACTTGTCCTCAGCTCCCAGACACGGTTGAGAGACAAAGGTGTGACTCCTTTAATGTCCTTGTCTTTCTTCATTAGGTTAAACATGGTGGGGGTGATGTTTGTAGGGGTGGCACCCCCAGAGGATAATGAGCATGGGGCACCTTCTCCTGAGCTCATGCTTCCCCACAAGCTCAGAGAGCAGCACGGCTTCCCCACTTACACACTGCCGGGCTCTGATCGCAGCTTGTGGGGACCCTGATTACCCAGTCAAGCACAACAGCAGGAGGTGCCCACATTCCCCATCCCTGCTCAGCCCAGGTGCCCAGGGAAGCACTCACATCGGATGGCTCCCTGCGAGGTCCCTCGCCGCTTCGCAGCCAGCTCCTGCTGAGTTCGCTGAGCTCTGGAATGGGCTGCACCTTGAGCCGTACGCTGTCCCCTGACTGCCGGATCATCTCCACAATTTCATCCCTGGACTTGTTCTCCACATTGTGCCCATTAATCTCCACCAGTCGATCTCCTGGCACCAGCCCCAAGGCCAGGTCCTTGGTGCCTGCACCAGGCTCAGCAAAGTGGACCACCCGCCGATAGGCCTGGCCCTCAGGGCCCCGATCCAGCATGGTTGTGCGCCGCAGGGAGAAGCCAAAGTCTCCAGTGGGCCGTCGTTGCAGCTCCAGCTCCCGGAGGGCAGGTGGGGGCAGGGGCACCACGGGGGGCAGGCGCAGGTCGACTGGGAACTTTTTAGTCACTAGCTCAGGGGCTCGGGATCGGTGCCCTGGTCGAGGGATGCCTGGGCCAGGATGCTGCACCAGCTGTCCCTCTAGAGTCCTCACCTCCACCTGTGGTGAGGGGGCGGCAGAGTGCTCTGAGGGCGTCGAGGTTTCTGAGGCGCTCTCATCCCGGCTACGCTGGGAGAAGGAAAAGCGCTTGACAATCATCTGTGAGTTCTGCTTGGCCAGTGAGCCGAACTTGGCTGCCCGCTGCAGCACCGAGCCACGGAAGCTGCCCTCCTCACCCTTGAGGTCATCGCTGGAGCTGGCTGTGCTTAGATGGCCCGAGTCCAGGATGATGCTGCCCCGGTTACTGTCGGAGTCAATGTCAGTTAGGTGTAGGTCAGAGCCGCTGGCCACCTTGATAGGGATGGGGTTGGAGATTTCCAGGCGCGTCTTGGATTCACGCTTGGAGGAGCGGTTCAGGTTGAAGAAGCCGCGTCGCAGGCTCATCTCCTCCAGGCTCCGAAGCTCTGCCGCTGACATCCGCTCCTTTTTCTCCTTTTTCTCCTTCTTCTCCTTCCGCCCGCCATCTTTGTCCTTGTCTTTCTTCATTAGGTTAAACATGGTGGGGGTGCTGTTTGTATGGGGTAGCACCCCCAGAGGATTATGAGTGCTTAGCACAGGGCCTTGGTGCCCCACTTTGCTGCTGCAAACAGAAACACAGAGAGAGAAAGGTTATTCGAACAGAGCCTCGTGTGTCTCTAGTCCAGACATAACCAAATGATACAGCTACTCCTCAGTGGGTGCTAGCTATGTGCCAGGCACTCTGCTTTACCCACTATTGTCTCCATTGATTTAATCCTTACAACCTTTCTATAGGTAGTTACTATTATTACCCCATTTTATAAATAAGGAAACTTGAGGTTTAGATAAGGCGGTAAAAGCCCAGATTCCAAAGCCTGTCATTTCCTTGATTCCTTGATAGACCAAGGCTTAGGTGTACCTGGAGGTAGTATGTGGGAGATCTGACCTCCTGGTAAGAGAATACTTCAAGCCAACCTGGGACCTGACTTAAGATTCAAACACAGGCCGGGCAGGGTGGCTCATGCCTGTAATCCTAGCACTTTGGGAGGCTGAAGCAAGAGGATCGATTGAACTCAGAAGTTTAAGACCAGCCTGGACAACATAGTGAGATCCTATTTCTACAAAAATATTTTAAAAATTAGCCAGGCGTGGTGGTGCATGCCCACAGTCCTAGCTACTTGGGAATCTGAGGATTGCTTGAGCCCAGGAGGTTGAGGTTGCAGTGAACTATGATCACACTACTCCAGCCTGGGCAACACAGTGAGACCCTGTCTCAAAAAAAAAAACAAGATTCAAACTCAAAGGAAAAAGAAAAGGGACTTAATGCAACATCACCTCCCACAGACAATATTCGTTTAAGCAACAGACATCCCATTCTTTGGTCTCTTTCCTGAGCCTGTTATCCCTAGAGTAGCACCCTTAGCCACCGCCTAACAGAAGACCTCAAAGGAATCAACATTTATTTAATGACCACCCCTGCCTAGGCCTAATACCAGGTACTTTACATGCACTATCTCCTCTGAACCTCACAGCATTCCTGCAAGGTAGGTATCATTATTTCCACTGTACAAAGGAGGAAAATGGGACACAGAAAATTAAGTACGTGTTAGTCGTCATACAGTTAATAAATGGTGATGTTGGGATTCAGTGGCAAATATTGTGTTCTTTCTAGGGCCTGGGTGACCAAAGTAAAGCAGCAAGAGAAGGAAGGGAAGTTCCAGACCAAACAGAGGATAGACAGCTGCGAGGTGGGGGTGGGGTAGGGTCCACTGGATAAACAGGATCCTAAAAAATTCACATCCTTTTCCCCAGACCAACACCTAAATATAGCCCCAGGAAGAAAGCTGTGGTAGCCTGAAAGAAAATCCCAGTCCCAGGGTGTGTGCAACCTACCCACCAACCTACACAACCCCCTGCACATCTAACAGGACAGGACTGATAAAAACCTGGTGGGAAAGAGTTGAGAGAGTCTTTCTTGTTCTAACCAGCAGGGAACAAGAAGAAGAAATAGGCCATGTCACCTAATTGGAAATTAAATGACATTTTTTTCTCTCTCTGAAAGTCTACCCCTCTGAGTTTCAGACATGGGATCTATAATCTCATCCCTTCTAGTAATGGCCTCTTGCCAGGCCCTGGACAGGCCTTTCCTCTCTGTGTGTCCTACCCCCACAACCAAGCAGGGCCCTCCAGGATCTCCAGTCTACTGAGAGGGACCACCCTTCAACCCTGGTACAATACTCAGGAAGGTATCAAGGTCAGAAATTCCCAAAGGCCCTAGTGCAATGGCTAATTGCTTCCCCCTGCCCAGCATCCTGACTTGTGCTGCCCCTGGCATACCATCTCATCTCCTTTCTAGAGCAGTGCTGTCCATAAGAAATATAATTCAAGGCCAGGTGCAGTGGCTCATGCCTGTAATCCCTAATACTTTAGGAGGCTGAGGCAGGCAGATCACTTGAGGTCAGAAGTTCAAGACCACTCATGCCTATAATCCCAGCACTTTGGGAGGCCAAGGCGGGCGGATCACCTGAGGTTAAGAGTTAGAGACTAGCCTGGCCAACATAGTAAAACCCCGTGTCTACTAAAAACACAAAAATGAGCCAGGCGTGATGGTGCACGCCTGTAATCCCAGCTATTCAGGTGGCTGAGGCATGAGAATCACTTAACCCAGGAGGCAGAGGTGGCGCCATCTCAGCTCACTGCAACCTCCGCCTACCAGGTTCACGCCATTCTCCTGCCTCAGCCTCCCAAGTAGCTGGGACTACAGGTGCCTGCCACCACGCCCGGCTAATTTTCTGTATTTTTAGTGGAGACAGGTTTTCACCGTGTTAGCCAGGATGGTCTCAATCTCCTGACCTTGTGATCTGCCTGCCTCGGCCCCCCAAAGTGCTGGGATTACAGGCATGAGCCACCACGCCCAGCCTTGAACTTGTTGGTTCTAAATGCTACATGCACAGTAGCTGGGAGTTAGAAAACAGGAAATCTAGGGCCGAAAAGGCACACAGCCAGGGGCCTTGGCCAGGTAGTCTGAACTGATTTGGGGTGGGGGGGTACCTGACAGCCAGCATTCTCTCTTCAGGGCTCTACTGTGACAAGGGGAGTCTCTCTCCTCCTGAATGTTGATGGGGTGTGGCACAGACCTACCATAAACCAAGATGTGGGATCTTCAGCTGTTACCGCCCACCTTATATCTCACCCACCACTGCTTGGATCATCTTAAAGGGATGGTTTAGAAGATAACTCCAGGGGCACTTGTGGGAGAAATGAAGAAAAAAATCCACCTTGGGGACTTGGATGGGACAACAAGAGTATCTTGGCCTCAATCCAACCACAGAGAACCCAACTGACTATAATGCTGTCCCACCAAGACACCCAATTCTCGGTCTATAATGCTTACCCAATCCTGGCTCTTCGCTAGGGGCTAGGTCGCTGAGTAGCATGAGTGGAAAGGAGCTCCCAGAATTCTAGGATCTTTGGGCTGGAAAGGTCCCTGAAAAAGTCTCAGCAAAAGCTTGTTCCTCACTGCCATTGTGGCAGTCAGGACAGCAGATGGTCACAGCAGCAGCACAAGGAATGGCGTGCTGGCCAGAAGTTTTAGGAGATTTGGTATCTAGGCCTGGATCTGCCAAAAAATCACTGGGGAACCTTGAGCCTGTCACTCTGCTCAAGGTTGAACTACAGTATGATCTAGATCTCTTCTGGCTCTAAAATTCTAAATATCTAAGTCTCCTGTGGACACAGGTTAAGTTATTAACCTTCTGCCAAAGGCACCCTTCTCATTCCAACCCTGGGGCCTTCAGAGAATTGCGGCTACGTCAGCCCTGCCCTCACCACCTCTGTCCTGCCACCACCGTCTACACAGCTCACAAGGCACCTCTTCCCCACCACCATCCCCATAATCGTCAGGCCTGGCTGTGGACGTTCTCTCCTGACTCTAGACCTGTCTGGCTGCCTGCAGCCTCCCGTCCAGGATCAGATCTACAATGCAACTGCTGCTCTATCGCCTTCTTGTAGACCTTACACTTTCTGGCACCTCCTGGCCTCAGGTCCAAAGTCTCCAACAGCTCTGATACCACCACCTTCCTACTCCCTATCCGAGGCTGTAGTTTCTATCTGCCTCCCCTTCCTCTCCTACCCTCTCCCTCCACTCCAGTGAAGGTAACCTTACAATTTTCCTGACCTCCTTTTCTGCGTTTCTCTCCTCACCGTACTCTAAGAAGTTTTTCTTAATTTTAAGAAAAGGAAAGCATCTATGTAAGTTAGGGTATGGACCCGAATTATCTTGATCTTACTATCCCCAAAAACAAAAGGAAAGTACAATCTGTCAACTTATCTGCTCTATCACTTTAAGAGAGTAAGCATCCTGAAGGCAATGACCATTCAACTCAAATATACATCTATCTGTCCATTAGAGAGTGCATAAACAATGTTCATATTCATACAATGGAATACTACTCAGCAAGAAAAAGGAAACAACTAAAGATACACACAATAGGGATTAACTTCAAAATCATGATTTCAAGTGAGAGGGAAAGAAGTCTTTGACAAAGAGTACATAATGGTATGATGCTTTTTTTTTTTTTTTTTTTTTTTTTTGAGGCGGAGTTTCGCTCTGTCGCCCAGGCTGGAGTGCAGTGGCCGGATCTCAGCTCACTGCAAGCTCCGCCTCCCGGGTTCACGCCATTCTCCTGCCTCAGCCTCCCGAGTAGCTGGGACTACAGGCGCCCGCCACCTCGCCCGGCTAGCTTTTTGTATTTTTTAGTAGAGACGGGGTTTCACCGGGTTAGCCAGGATGGTCTTGATCTCCTGACCTCGTGATCCGCCCGTCTCGGCCTCCCAAAGTGCTGGGATTACAGGCTTGAGCCACCGCGCCCGGCCGGTATGATGCTCTTTATATGAAGTTCTAGTGCAGGCAAAACTAACCTATGGTGGGGGTAGGAGTGGGATCACATGAGGGAACTTTTTGGGGTGATGTTCATGTCCTATATATTGATAGCGGTTTGGGTTGATAAGTATATGCATTTGTCAAGTCATCAAATGGTGCACATAAGATTTGTGCGTTCAGTCAGGCACGGTGGCTCACATCTGTAATCCCAGCACTTTGGGAGGCCAAGGTGGGTGGATCACGAGGTCAGGAGATCGAGACCATCCTGAAACCCATCTCTACTAAAAATACAAAAAATTAGCCGGGCATGGTGGCACGCGCCTGTAGTCCCAGCTACCAGGACGGCTGAGGCAGGAGAATCGCTTGAACCTAGGAGGCATAGGTTGCAGTGAGCCAAGATCGCGCCACTGCACTCTAATCTGGGAGACAGAGCGAGACTCCGTCTCAAAAAAAGAAAAAAGAAAAAAAAAAAGATTTGTGCATTCATTGTTTGTAAATATTCACTCAAAAGAACTACAAATAAATATTGAACTCTAGTGAATTATATATATGTTAAAGTATTTGGGGCGAAATATACTGATGTCTACATTTTACTTTGAAATGCATAAAATTTTAAGACAGCTTGATGAGGTTGGGCAAGGTGGCTCACACCTATAATCCCAACACTTTGGGAGGCCAAGACGGGCAGATCGCTTGAGCTCAGGAGTTGGAGACAAGCCTGGGCAACGTGGCAAAGCCCT